CTGATCTCGAGAGTCGAAAAACATCTGGATCTGTTGTACTCATACCAGATGGATGTTGAGTAGTAGTTATTCGAGGAGGAAGTGAAAGTGATGCTCCTTACTGTTTAGTAACTAAAAGTGCATGTTTCATACTCTCGTATTACTTTCTGCTTTTGTATCTTTGTTGTGTACGAATTTTGTGTTTTGATGGGACGTAATTCAGACTTTTTTATGAATTCGGGATTAGTATCACTAAGATTGTCAAGTTCTCGATAGAAGAGCTGCTGAATTTGTAATATCCAATTTCTTTTGATAAAAGATATTGGGTTATGACTTCTATATCAAGTAGTTCATTGCAGGATACGCAGAGGTTGCGAGGCTTGTGCTCCCATATTATGAAGTTTGCTCAAGTGATATCAATTGGGTCATCTAATTGGTCTCTTGGTTGCGACAATTGAAGAATTCAATAATGAACAACACTAATAAAGAAGAAATGGATTTACTTGGTTCAGTGCCATCGTGGTAGACTTACATCTGCGAAAGAAGAGAGGAGATTGTATTGTATTCATTCTGTGTTTAGAATTTACAATGATAATCATATATGGTCACATTACATCAATGTTGTCTTATTTGGGAATAGGTAATAAAAATAAAAATATCATGGAAACATTTCAATTGTGGTTAAACCAAACCGCCCCAACATATTTTCCAATATTAACAAATATCCTTCAAATCACACCATAATATTTTTCTCAAATATTAGCAAATATCTTCAAATCTCTCTCCTCCAACACTCACCTCAAGTTGGTGAGAAAATATCGATGGAACCCAATTTGGACAATATCTCATGAAATTTGACAACGATCATCCTTTCAGCCGTTGGTGAAAATATCGGTTAACTGTTGACTGCTACAAATAAAAGGAGTGCAAATAACCTTGTCTTGGACCTATTCTCGTATAAAATGACTATCAACTTCAACGTGTTTTATCCTCTCATGAAAAACTAGATTTGAAACAATATGGATAGCTTTGACTATCGAAAAAATCTGTGTGGGTTGTGATGAGTTAAATCCCAAATCTTATGCAAAGAGTGAAGCCAAATAATTTCACTTGTAGTAAAAGTCATTGCCCAATATTCAGCTTCAACACTGGAGCATGCAATAACATTATGCTTTTTACTCCTCCAGGTCACCAAGTTCCCTCCATTAAAAGTTCAAAATCATAATGTATAGTTCATTCTCAGCAAATTTCACATCACACGATACAAATAACTTCTAAGAGTTGAGTATTGTAGCATGCTTGTAAAGGCCCGAAAATTTCATAGAATAGAATTTAATTGTTCTAAATGCTATATCTTATAGTTTGGAAAATTAGGAGATTAAAGTAATATATGAATTAAATTCAATTTATAGATCCGGTTTATTAATCCCTAAGTTCTCTTTGTGTTTCAATTTTGTGTTTTGAGTATCCATTTTGAGATTGTTGAAAATATATTCTTTTTAGCATTTTGAAAAATTATTTTGAAAACACCTAAAACGCGTTTTGAAAATTTTGGCTTGATTATAACTTAAAACACCTAAAACGACAAATTTGTCATTTTGGATTTTTTTTTTTTTTTTTTTTTGTAAATGTTTAACTTGTTTTCAAAAACTCGTTTTTGAAAATAGGAAAGAAAACGCGTTTTTATTGTTTTGAAAAATTGAAAACAGAAAACGGTTTGAA